GCTGCAAACCACAATGCCAGTAAAAATTACTCTTTGGAGGACCTCATTCCAGGTGCCAGGTTCTCAAGAGGCCTTACATAAATGTCCTGGGTTAATTTAGGCTTCCAGGTGGCTGAATTAAGTCTGTAGCCTCCTAGAGTAAATCAAGGTGATACATAGATTGTTGTTGTTGTTTGCCATCGAGTCGGCCCCGACTCATAGCGACCCCTCCTTGGGTTTCTGAGGCAGTGTCACTATGGAAGTAGGATTGCCCAACCTTCCTTCCGAGGAGTGGCTGGTGGGTTTGAACCGCCAGCCTTCTGGTGAGCAGTCAAGTGATAGGTAGGTAGGTAATTGCTGGGGTAACAATGTGGAGGAGAGCCCCATAGAAGTTCCACTCTGCCATCTCTCTGCCACTCTTTTCTCTTAGTCATGCAGAAGTGTGGAGTTGAGCAGGAATTTCTAAGATAAAGGCATTTGGGGAATGGGTTTTTATTTTCCTAGAATTAGTTCTTTGCCAGAATGTTAAATGCAGCCATGGCTTAGTTATCTAGTGCTGCTATAATATAAAAGTTAAAAGTGGGTGGCTTTAACAAACAGAAATTTATTTTCTCACAGTTTAGGATAAAGGCTCAAAGTCTGAATTCAGGATGCCTGCTCTTGGGGAAGGCTCTTTGTGTCATCTGTGGAGGAAGGTCCTTGTCTCTCTTCAGCTCTGTTCCTAGATTCCTTGGCATAGAGGTGTCCCTAAGTTATGGCACATGCCCTGGGTGCCACTTGAAGCTGGGCACCCCTGAGCAGTTTCTAGTAACCATCCTAGTTTCCAGACCAGCTGTGAGAGGCCATTCAACAAGTTAAAACTAATACTTTCATATTTGAGCACCTCCATGGGTCAAGGCCAACTATGTTATCTCTCTCTTTGCTGAGTGTAGAAAGTGAAGAAACTGAAAAAAATAACTTTGAGGACATCACAGACCCATTTTCATCAGTGCAAGCAAGGAAAGTGCGGTTGTAATTTTCATGTAGTGCCATAATGTGTTAAGTAACCAATTGACAAGCTTGTACTTTTGAGCTGATATTATGGTAAAGTTATCTATAAGGTGGGTATCAGATGACTGGGCAGGGACACACATAGGCTCTATTTTCCGTAGTTACGCCTCTGCCTTGGTGATCACATGGCATTTATCTTCCCCTCAACTTGCTTGCTTAATGTGCTTGTTTATATTTCCAAAGAGATTGATTTAAAACACTAATGCTGCCTCATTAACATAACAAAGAAAATCCATTCCCAAGTGGGATTATAACCACAGGTATGGGGTTAGGATTTACAACACATATTTGGGGGTGGTGGAATATAATTCAATTCATAACAAGCTGTTGTTTTTGTTATGTGCCATCGAGTCGGACCAGACTCATAGCGACCCCTCCTTGGGTTTCCCAGGCAGTATCACTACAGAAGTAGGATTGCCCAACCTTCCTTCTTTTGTTTTTGCTTTCAAGGCAGGGATAGCCTTGGCTACAGCTACCTAAAAACTTGGTTTTTATCAAATATAAAGAATTTATCTTTAGGCTTAGACTTTTAAAGTAAAACTCTCTCTCTCTCTCTCTCTCTCACACACACACACACACACACACACAAAGTGAAAAAAGGGAAAAGAGCCCAGCCAAGTAGTAGTATTCCCCAGGGCAGCGTTTCCCAAGGTCATCATGGCCATGTGTTGAAGGTAAGATTCTCAAAACCACATTTCCTTGAAAGATCAACAGCCAGACTTTTGTGCAATAAGCAGCAGAGTTAAATTAATATAAAGACCTACCTCACTGTGTCATCTGAGAGCTGCCAGAGTCCAGAGTACAGTCTCAGCCGGGGTTCAGCTGGATTCAGCTAATTGGCCAACAGGTGAATTGTCAGTTGATGTGGTGAAGATTAGTAATTCATTTTGATCAGTGTGCATGTTATAATTCCTAAGTTGTGATCAATAAGCCTCCTGGGCCACCATATATTGCTTGTTATTTGAAAAGCAAGTATTGTAGGAAAAAACCAAGTGCAGAGTGAGAGAAAAGGGCCGTAGGTGTGCAGGGATGAGTTCAGCGGTGGTGAGAGCCAGCCACCTCTGACTGCTTCCCCCTGCTCCGTTCCAGCCTCTTGATACTTACTGGAAAACATTAAATTCTTACCTTTTCATTTTTTTCTCTCTTACTTATTTATTTTGGTTAATACTATTTTTTCAAGAGAATCTGAATGACTTCCTTTTTCCCTTGCTGTGTTATACTTGAAGGTTTGGGGATCTAGATGTTGGTCTTCCCATAAAAACCTAAGAAAAATATTGGTGAAAATTGTATGTCTGTGTTCATGGGTAGAGATTTAAATGTATTAGTAAATACCTCATGTATTAGTTTTGATTCGGATTGAAAGTAACAGAAACCAACTCAGACCAGTTTAAGCATAATAAAGGGGCCTTTACCTTAAGAATTCTAACCCAAGGCATCATGTTTTCAATTGCCTCATATGCATGTGAAAGCTGGACAATGAATAAGGAAGACCAAGAAGTTGATGCTTTTGAGTTGTGGTGTTGGCAAAGAATATTGAAGGTACCATGGACTGCCAGAAGAACTGACGAATCTGTCCTGGAAGAAGTGCAGCTGGAATGCTCCCTGGAAGTGAGAATGGCCAGACTTCTTCTCACCTACTTAGGTCATGTTGTCAGAAGGGACCTTCCCTGAAGAAGGATATCAGGCTTGGTAAAATGGAGGGTCAGTGAAAAAGAAGAAGGCCCTCAGTGAGATGGATTGACACAGTGGCTGCAACGATGGGCTCCGGTATAGCAAGGATCGTGAGGCTGGCACAGGACCAGGCATGTTTCATTCTGCTGTCCATAGGGTTGCTAGGAGTCGGAGACAACTCGACAGCACCTAACAACAACCTTAAGAATATAGGAATGTGAATCTCCAGGACTGAAGCTGGGCAGGGGAAAGCAGTCAGAGGCAGCTGCTGCGTTCCAAGCCTGCCTCTCACCACTCACTGCTTCACCCATCCCTGCACATCTACGGCACTTTTCTCTCACCGTGTACCTGAGCTTTTCTATGCTATTTGCTCTTCAAACAGGCAATACATGGTGGCCAGAAAGCTTACATATCTATTCTAGCCATGTGCTTGGAATCAGTCCCTGTGCCAAAAATCCCAGGAGGGAGACTCTGTTTGACACAAGGGTCTGTCTTGTTCCATTAACCATGGCAGAAACACAGAATTGGCACTTCCCCAGCAGGGGGCCTTATGAGCTGACAGACACTCCACCTACGACTACGCTGTCCTCATTGGTTTAGCTCTTGCCTCTCAACCTCAGAGTTGCTTTTAGTTTTAAACACTCTTGTCTTGGTTTTGCAAATAGCAATGATAACCACTTCATTTCTGTCCCAGGGTCAGTGTTTGTTTTGTACATGCTACTTTGTATTGGAGTGCTGTTTTTGCAATTAATAGTGTACCTCATTCCCTTAACTTTCACCCAAACGACAGACCTATAAGGTGAATGATAACACCAGGGAGGTACACATGCCTTAGAAAAATCAACCATACAAGATCAAAAGGCACCAGTTGCCCAGGTATAAAACTCAGAAGGTAGGAAGGGATAGGTTAGAAGGGCAAATGGAAGCGGGAAACACAGGGAAGTGGGAAGAGTGCTGTAACATCATGGGGACTGCAATCCGTGTCAAGAAGCAAAATATGTATGAATTGTTGAGTGGAAAATCAATTTGCTCTGTAAACCATTCACCCAAATCACAATAAAAAGTAAAAAAGAAAATAAATAACTAATGTCTCTGAGTTGGGATGGATACATGTACATTCATAGTTCCATCCACTTTACTCCCTCCCCTCTCCTTAGTACTATTTTCTTCATCTGTTAATGGCAATGTCTTTCTCAAGTGGGTAGAAAGCACTTTAAAATAGCCAAGTACTATGCAAATGTAAGGTGTCTTTAAATGTTTCTGACTTCTTAACAACTCTAAATTATTCAAGAACTGATGATGTAGTCATGCAGTGTCTAAGCCCTTTCCTTCTGCAGTGCTTGTCACCATGGCTATCAGGTGGGGAGGCAAAATGATGCTCATGCCAGCATTCAATATGGCTTCTGCTGGCTAAATTGGGCCTTGAAACTACCAAAAACCCCAAACCCATTCCTATCAAATCGATTCCAACACATAGCAACCCTATAGGACAGAGTAGGGAACTCTGGTGGCATAGTGCCTAAGGCATTTGACTGCTACCCAGAAGGCTGGTGGTTCAAACTCACCAGCTACTCCTCTGAAGGAAGGTTGGGGAATCTACTTCTGTAGTGATACCGCCTAAGAAAACCAAGGAGGGATCGCTGAGTCAGATCCGACTGGCCGACAGTGAGTTTGGTTTCTTGGTTTAGGACAGAGTAGAAGTGTCCCATAGTTTCCAAGGCTATAAATCTTCACCGGAGCTGACTGCCACACCTTTCTCCTGCAGAGCGGCTGGTGGGTTAAGAACCACCAACTTTTAGGATAGCAGCCAAGCACTTAACCAGTGTGCCACCAGAGTTCCTTCCTTGAAACCAATGACATAATATTAAGGTTAGGTTACTGGTGGATTTCTGTGTTTGCTGGCTTCCCTCCCGTTAATTGGCTTTGTAGGAAAAATTGGTAGTTGTATTTTTGTATAGCATCTAAGAATTGGGTTATTTGTTACTATATTACTCTTTCATTTAAAAAAAGGAAAAAAATTACCTTTTGTTCATTAAGTTGACTATTCATTTTACATTGATTGAGCAGGCAGACTTGTGGTACTAAGTTCCCCAGATAGAGATGTGATGGTAACAAAGTGATGGTGGCTGCCTGCCCAGCTCTGGGAGTTTCATGAATGCAAACCAGTGTGGGCTCCTTCTCCCTCCCACTTTACATGAGGCATGTCCTGTGTCCATCCACTGCAGTTTAGCCTTTAATAGGAGCCAAGTGAGGTAAAGTGTTGAATTTATTTCTAAACTAATTCCATTCCTCTCTTGCAGAAAATATTTTCAGAACCTGGAAGCTTGTCCATGACAACCATCACGAAGCTTCGAGAGAGCTGCAGAGCCAAGTTACTCACTCAGGGATGAGCTGGCGGTCTCCTCAACTGCACATTCCTCCACTCTTTGCACTGACATGAATCATCATTTCCAGAGTTGACACTTGACCAATTTTTACAGCTTTCCTTTTTAGTGTTGTAAATACTCACTGTCACTACACTTCAGTTTTTTTTTTTTTAAAAAAGCAATTTCAAATCATTTAATTCTACAACTCTTAGGTTATGAGCTATGATGTCATGAATTTCTAAACAAAAAAATATTTTTACCTGAGACAATAATATATGAGATATGCACATTTATATTTAATAAAATATGTCAACACCTGTGAGTTTGTGATTATCAGATTTAAAATTAAAATCAAAATAATGAACTGTCACTATTGTGTTATTGCCAGTCAATACTCTGTTCCTTTTTCTGTGGCAGAGGGTTATACATGTAGCCAGTAATTTTGCTGTAAAAATGTAATTTGTAAAAATTACTTTTAAAAGATTGTGTTACATAAAGAATAAACCAGACAGGAGCTCTGGTGGTGCAATGGGCAAGGCATTTGGCTGCTAATCAGAAGGTCAGCAGTTCAAACCCACCAGCTGCTCTGCAGAAGGAAGATGAGGCAATCTATTTCCGCAAAGATTTATAGCCTTGGAAACCCAGTGGGGTCACTATAGGGAATGGACTCAATGCAGTGGGTTTTTTTGGGGGGCGGGGCACGGGGGATATGTAAGTCTTAGGAATGGAAAGTTTGATACGGGGCCATGAAAGCTCCAGCCCAGTCATTTCAACCTAGATCTCAGGAGACTGTTCTAGGAGGGAGAGGTGTTTAACATGGCTGCCTGAAGCTAAGGCTAATCAGACTCCCAGAGCAGCTTGAGATAAGGGAGGCTTGGCCAAGGAAGGAATCTGGTTTAAAGATCCATGATACACGCTGCCGGGACTTACTCTTCTGGCACCGCATGGGCTCCGAGAGTCCCTTTCACTTGTTAGTCTCCCTGCCTGAAATAGTGATGTGCCCCCAACCTAGATGAAGAAATTTATTGCCTGGGCTGGGTATAAGCAGCCCTGGCGGAGCAGTGTTAAGCACTTAGCTGCTAACCAGACCAGTAGTTTGAATGCCCCAGCTACTCTGTGGGAGAAAGATGTGGCAGTCTGCTTCTGTAAAGATTATAGCCTTTGAAACCCTATGGGACAGTTTTTTCTATCCTATGGGGCTCTTATGAGTTGGAATCAACACAATAGCAATGCGTTGGGTTTAGTTTGGGCAAGATGAGCCATGTTTGGGACAGGTAGGAGAAGAGCCTTTAATACGGCTGTTCCCAAGCTTCCATACTCAGCAGCTTAACCATCTTGTTACTTGTGAACACCCCTTGGTTTTTCAGAAAAATCTCGTAACAGTTGTTTGCCAAAATGTTGTGGGAAATTATGCCATTTTCCCATTTCCCATTTTACTTTATTTCCTGTTGTTGTTGTTAGCATTCTCTAAGAGTTCTGCCTGCAAACCTTGGTTGACAAGCTTCTTAAATTTGATCTGTGTTCACAGAAGTGTAACCTCCTCTCAAAGAGGAAAAGTTAAGGGGGAAGGAGGTCAATACTAAATTCATTCTGAACTTTTTTTGAAAAAAAAGTTTAGTAAAAGGAAGCAAGGTTTAACCACAGTTAACTCATCCAACTGCAGCAGCCTGGGGATTGCAAGAGCCCTGACTGTTGGGTCCTAAGTTCTGCATTCTGGTTCTGCCACCTACTTCCTGTCTCACTGTAAATTGCTTGGCCCCTTTGCCTCACCTCTAACAGGAGACAGGCAAGACTTCAATGCTAAGGTGCCTTCCCTTTAGCTGGGGAAAAATGAGTGGAGCAGATGCTACAAGTGTATCCATTAATAAAACTGGAGTCAGGCCCAAAATGCGGTAATACCCCAATTTATAACCTGGACAAAGCTTACTGCCACAAAGTAAAACTGTGGACTGCAATAAACAACTCAGCAGCTGGGTTAGTTGCAGTCTGGGGAGGTGAAAAGGATCTTGGGGACCATCAAGGCTGGGAGATTGAAGCTAGCATTCATCTTATAGTTTAAAAAAACTGTGTTGACCAGAGTTGCTCATCACTGGCAGACAGCCTAAACTTTCATTTTTCTGATTCCGTGCTACTTTTCATTCCCAAAATGCTTATGGAGGCTAAAATTAGCATCTCAGCAATACAGTGGTGCTTATTACATTGAACAAAGATGTTTGGTTTCTTGGTGGACTTGAACAAATCGGTCACCGTCTGCCACTGGGCACATATACATGGTTTGCCAGTTTAAACCAGTCTTGTAAGTTTGTAATCATAGTACTTAAAATGCTGCTCCAAATGCCTCGATTCCAGGAACTTGTGAGGCATGCTTTACCTTGGGCATGATGAGTGTGGCATCTTTGAGGCAGTTCACTGGAGGTAACCTAAACTTGCTAGTTATTTCTTAAGACCTTGCAAACTCCCGGGAAGGAACCCAGAAATGTTTGGTTCCTCTTGTATAAAACAGGTGGAATCTTTGAAGCAAGTCATCTTGTAGTTGGCTCTTCCTCAGCATTAACCCCTCCAGAAACTTCACTGCCTTAGTCACTGCTTTGAATCTGCTAGGGAAAATGATGTTGTCCACTTTGGGAGTTACTGTGTAAGGAGCTGTGGTGTAGTGGGTAAGACATTTGGCTGCTAACCAGGAGGTCGGAGATTCAAATCTACCAGCTGCTCTACAAGAGGAAGATGAGGCAATCCAGTAAAGATTTACAGCCTTGGAAAGCAAACAGGGTTTGCTATGGGTCAGAACTGACTTGATGGCAGTTGGTTTGGAGTGGGTTGTCTGGTTCACATGACAGGACCTTCTGGCTCAGTTTGGTCTCCTGGTCGCCTTCACTCCCTGCTTCAATATATGGTATTTTCTTAATGGTTTCAACTTTTATGAATCCCCAAACATTTGCAAAGGCATGAACACTGGCATTGATAATATGTGACCACTGGTCTATCTCAATTCTGGATTAGGCATAAAGCAATCATTTCTGCATCATTTTAACATTTGACATAGACTATCCCAAGAGTTTATCTGTACTGTTTAGACTGGGTGGTGGCATAGTGCCTAAGGCATTTCATTACTAACCAGAAGGCTGGCAGATTAAACCCACCAGCCACTCCTAGGGAAGGAAGGTTGGGTAATCGACTTCCAGTGGTACTGCCTCAGAAACCCAAGGAAGGATTGCTGTGAGTCAGATCTGACTCAATGGCAGTGAGTTTAGATTGGAGAAATTTAACCAGAGAATCTATTAGTCTTTTAAAAAACTCATGATGTGACCATGCTACTTGAGAGCCTTAAAAATTCCATCCATCCCCTGACATCTTGCAGTATCACTTCCTTAGCAACAGCCTGTTCAGAATTTACATCTTACTGGAATCTCAGTATCTCTGCTCACATGGGCCCTACTCTTCTATTGTTTGAAAAAGACTGCAAAACTTAACTGAGATTGGACACGGCAGACTTAAGCAATATAAAAATTATACAGGGCTCTCAGGTTTTATCAAATATATATCTGGGAGTAAAAATCCATTTGGGAATCTTTGGAGCTTGATTAAAAGACCCACTGTTGAGAACAGATTTCTGGAACATGGTTAGATGTAGGTATGTTGTATGGTAAGTCAGGGAAGCGTAAATTCCAGGGGCTACTTGGCAAGCTCTTCTTAGACTTTATAAATCAAGATCTATAGCCTGATAGTGCAGTTGTTTAAAAGGCAGAAAAAGAAATGAAGCACTTAAGAATGCATTTCTGTTCCAAGATTTAAATAAAGGACTGCTCTAAAGCTCTTAGCAAGCTGAGTGGCAGCCTCCTACTAGTAGTCTTCCAGAGGGACCAGAGGAGGAGGCCTGGCCCACATAAAGAGCCAGGTGGGAAGGCCACATTTTTAAAGGGATGATTTATCTCCAAAACCACAAACCTATCTTTTTAAACATAAGAGCTTATGTTTGAATAAGGGCTTCTCTGACCTTTCATAAGGAGCCCCAGTGGTTTAATGGTTGCATGCTTGGCTGTTAACCCAAAGATCAGTGGTTCAGACCCATCAGCAGCTCCATGGAAGAAGAGACCTGGCAGTGTTCTCCCACAGATTATAACCTAGAACACTTTATGGGGCAGTTCTACTCAGTCCTGTAGGGTTGCTATGAGTTGGAATCAACTGAATGGCACACAACAGGCCTTTTATATGTCTCATAAACTAATGGAGGACACCATTAAGCACCACCACCCCACCCCACTCCACCCACACACCCTGCCATTACTGACCTGGATCTTAATAAAACAGATATAGTCTTGAGATTAGATTGTAATTTTCAGTAAAGAAACCACATGCTCTGGACCTCTTTGCATCCTGCTTTTTTTTTTTTTAAATTGTGATGTGGGTGAAAGTTTACTGCTTCCTTATTTTTAACTTGTTACTCATGATGTAGATGAGTAGCATATGGCAAGAGTGTGATGATTTTAAGACTGACATTAAGGAGACAACTAATAGTTCCCATCCAAAAGAATGGCTACAATATCAACCCTTCTAAAATCAGGTGTTGGTTTGCACAGACCAGCCCCCTCACCCCCCTTCCCCAACTGTGGTTATTACTGTCATACACTTAATTGCTGAATATACTTAACATCATTTTTTCGTGATCTCTCATTTTCAACTGAGAAAAGTACTAGGTCCAGACCAACAAAGAAAGAGAATTTTTATTAGCATTGTTACAGGCAATGCGTTACATATGAACTGATCCTTAAAGTGTACAACCCCAACCAAGCTGTAAGCGGATAAATCAGTAGAGTGAAATCCATATTGTACACAAGTGCAGAAATAGGATCACCCTGAATTTCAAACAGAAGACTGAAAATCACTTTACAAAAAAGTAAATAAAAATAACACCCATTTATATTTAAAAAAGTGCCAGCTCTTAAGTGGCAGAGCATTAAAAATACCAAAGGATATACCCAATTAACTTTGTAATGCTTGAATGCTGAGCTGTTCATCCCCGAAATGGGCCAAGCCTGTCTTGGTTTTTAAAGCTTAATTTAAGCATTTCTTATTTTCACCTTTTGAAGCACTTCAGTTTTCCTCTCTCTACCATTTTGACTTTCTTTAATGTGTCAGCTTGACAATTAGTTAACCTTCATCAGTTGTTAAGTTTAAGACCAAAGATTTTCCCTTTGTAAGGCTTAAATATGAATACAATAAAGAATGAAGAAACCAAACACCAGAATTTTTAGGAAGTCAACTGATAGTAGAGCCAGTGCCAATTTAGAAAAGCACTCTTACCCTTACCTTAGAGTTCTACTTTGGTAAATATTAATATTTAACCAGTTAGCAAAATATTTAACCACGTTAGCAAAATTAACACCGTCATTTCAATAGTTACTCTTTTGTGCATAGTAAATGTTGCAAGATGAACTTCACATTTGATAAAGCAGACTTGGAAAACAGTTTGCAAGAAAGTATGCCTCCCTTTCAATACCAATTTAAGCTCAGGGAAAATGAATATAGACCTCTTGCAACTGCTGTTGATCTATGGTGGTGGAGAGCAAGTGCAAAAGCTAAATCGTCTGATACCCAGCATGACTTCTCTTCCTGCCAATGAGATAAGCAATTAGGACAATGAGGACAAGTCCGGCAAGGGCGCCACCTACAGCGACAGGAATCAGCATGTTATTTTCATCCAGCTGACATTCTTCCACTGAAAAGAAAAACAAGAATGCATCACATAGGCACATTTGTTTTCACCATACAGATCTTACAAATAGGTCTCTTTCTGCTCCCCACTTCTTCCCACACTCCAGCAGGGAAAAGAAAATTAAACCAAGGTGGGAGAGTCCAAAATCTATCCAACAACCACTTAGAGAAGCCTCTAGAGGAGAATGGAGCTTTCTGCATGGCTATGAAATTATGGTCCCCACAAAGGAGCCCTCGTGATGTAGTGGTTAAACACTCAGCTGAAAAGGTTTATACCCACTAGCCGCTCTGAGAGAAAGACCTGGTGATCTGCTCCTATGAAGACTTCAGACTAGGAAACCCAAGAGGCAGTTATACTCTATACTATAGGGTTGCTATGAGTTGGAATCAATTTGACGGCACATAACATTAGAACACAAATGCCATTCAGTTGTCAGTGTAGTCACAGTCAGTTGTGCCACATACAGGGCCATGAAGCACATCAGATAGATACACTTTTACATCCAACGTCCACAGCGGAAAGAGCTACAACTATTTCTTAAAATGGCATTATTCTTTAAACTGTGCCATGTGTTCCTATCTGTAAGATAATGCTGAGCCTTTCTAAAACAAGGTAAACACAGCAAAGGGAATGTTCTCTCAAAATCTTAAGACTACGAAAAAAAAATCAACTCTTCGTAGAGAAAAAGGGAGTTTTCACCTCCCACCCCTTACTCCCAATATACCAAAACCAAACCAAACTCACTGCTATTGAGTCGATTCGACTCATAGCGACCCCTCCTTGGGTTTCTGAGGTGGTATCACTATGGAAGTAGATTGCCAATCTTCCTTCCAAGGAGTGGCTGGTGGGTTTGAACTGCCAGCCTACTGGTTAGCAGTCAATGCCTTAGGCACTCTGCCACCAGAGCTCCTACTTCCAATATTGTTGTTGTTGTTGTTATGTGCCGTCGAGTTGGACCCGACTCATAGCGACCCCTCATTGGGTTGCCAAGGCAGTATCACTATGGAAGTAGATTGCCCCACCTTCCTCCCAATATAGATGCTATTAAATATCCAAAATAGAACCACAGAATGTCAGGACTGTGGAGAGTTTTAAACACTTAAATTCCCACCATCACTGTAAACATCAATGTTACCTACCAGATCCAAACTCATTGCCTTCAACCTTGAAAGCCTGGACCCACACTTTGAATACGTTGACCGAAAATGCCTTTGTGACTTGAATATTCTCCTCAGCATTACACTTGTAAGAATTCCCAACAGTGGCTTGAAGTGCTCTCAGGGAGTCATTGGCAGCTTTAAAAGTGGGCTCTGCAAATTCATTTAGGAAGTCTGGTTATTCTGGGAAATCTTGGGTAGGAAGGTACATGCATTATGTGAATTGTGGAAGTCTTACCTCTGGCATCAGGAAGAGCTGTACTTAACTGGATTCCTTGGAGGAAAAACTGGCTAGAACTTGCATTCTTCAAGAGAAAGAAAGAAGATAATCTTCAAACCAATTTACCAGACTTCCCCTCCACCCTAGGGTCAAACTGGAAAGGTCTTTTGATAATAAAATTTGACTTTCCATATTTCTAGCTTTAGAATGAGTCTACAAAACTGTTCTGCCTATAAAAAGCATCACATAAATCTGATGAACACAGAAATTCTGATAAGCTCCTTGTAGAACCTTTTTAAGCCAATCAGAAGAGTCTTTGCTAAAATGGCGGCTGAAGGAGCTATACTCTAAAACATTAAACTTTTTCCAAATGGTAGAGCTATATTCTAAAACATTAAACTTTTTCTGAATGGTACAGGAAGCATTATCAGGAAAGTTAAAAGTATAACTTCTGCTATGTGCCCATCAGTGGAAGAGTAAATGACCAAGCTATGGTACACATACACACAAGAATGCTATGCAGCACTAAAGAATAATGTAGAGTCTGCAAAACACTGCATAATATGGATGAACTTGGAGGACATTATGCTGAGTGAAATAAGTCAATCACAGAAGGACAAATAGAGTATTAGTTCGTTGTTCTGGAGGGTCAAGGAAAGGTTTATATATGGAGGGAAACTTTCTTTGTTGATTGCCAGGGGAGGGAGGAAGGGGAGGAAACACTGCAAAAAAAAAAAAAAAGAAAAGCACTGACCCATGCCATTTTAGTTTTGTATATTCCACTGTACATAAATTATATTTCAATAAAATGCATAAAAAAAAAGTACAACTTCTGATAAGATAGTGGAATAGGCAGACAAGCTACACAGACCCTCTTTAACAAAGAAAAGAGAAACCAATTGACACAGATACAGAAGATAAACCTGGAACCCTGAGGATACAGAAGCGGATTAAACACCAACTAGCAGAAGAACCTGTATGAAAACAGTGAGTAAGGAGACAAATGGAGCTGTGGACTGTCAGCTATCTTCATGGCACAGACAGCCTAAGTATTTCCAAGTGGTGCTAGAACCTGAGAATTACTTGGGAATAAATCTCACTATGGTTGGGCAATCTACTTGCGTAGTGATACTGCCTTGGAAACCCAAGGAGGGGTCTTTATGAGTCAGGTCTGACTCAATGGCACATTAACAACAACAACATGGACACAAAAGATATGTACAAAGAAAACTATAAAACACCACTTCAAGAAACCATAAGATATCTACATAAATGCAGGAACATACCATCCTCATGGATAGGAAGACTGAACATTGTGAATATGTCAATACTACTCAAGCAATCTATCCATTCAATGCAATCCCAATCCAGAGCCCATCCATATTCTTTAAGGTATGGAAAAAACAATCACTAATTTTATATGGAAAGGAAAGAGACCCTGGATAAGTAAAGCACTACTGAAGAAGACGAACAAAGTGGGAGGTCTCACACTCTTGGATCTCAAAACCTACTATATAGCCACAGTAGTCAAAATAGCCTGGTATTGGTACAACAACTGACACACTGACCAGTGGAACAAAACTGAGAACCCAGAAACAGATCCAGTGACCTATGGTCAGCTGATTTTTGACAAAGGGCTGAAATCCATGAAATGGAAAAGAGATGGTCTCTTTAACAAATGGTGCTAGCAAAACTGGATATCCACTTGCAGAAAAATGAAACAAGATCCATACCTTACACCACACACAAAAGCTAACTCCAGATGGATCAAAGACTTAAATCTGAAACCTAAAACCATAAAGTTCCTCAAGGAAAAAATAGGGGCAAATTTAGGGGCCTTAATTTATGGCATGAACAGACCATGAAGCATAACCCAAAATGCACAAACACCAGAAGATAAACTAGATGATTGGGATCTTCTAAAAATTAAATTTTTATGTGCATCCAAAGACTTCTCCAAGAGAGTAAAAAGAGAACCTACAGACTGAGAAAAAATACTCGGCAATGACATATCTGACAAAGGACTTATCTCTAAAATTTATAGAAAACTCCAACATCTCAACAACAAAAAGATAAACAATCCAATTAAAAATTGGGCAGAAGACATGAACAGACACTTCACCAAAGAGGATATTCAGACAGCCAACAAACACATGAAGAAACGTTCATGATCATTAGCCATTAGAGAGATGCAAATCCAAACAACAATGAGATTATCATCTGGTCCCAGCACTAATAGCAAAGTTCAACAAGACAGAAAATAACAAATACTGGGAGGATGTGGAGAGACTGGGACTCTCATATACTGCTGGTGCGACTGTAAAATGATACAACCACTGTGGAAAGCGGTATGGCGATTCCTTAAAAAACTGCAATTAGAAATACCATTTGATTCAGTAATCCTATTACTAGGTATATATACTAAAGAAGTGAGAACCAGGACAAGAACAGATATATGCACACCCATGTTCATTGCAGCACTGTTTAAAATAGCAAAAAGATGGAAACAACCTACATGCTCATCAACAGAAGAATGGATAACCAAACTATGGTACATACAAACAGTGGAATACTATGCAACACTAAAGAATAATGTAGAATCTGCAGAACACTACATAATGTATATGAACTTGGAGGACATTATGTTGAGTGAAATAATCAACCACAAAAGGACAAATATTCTATTAGTTCATTATTGTAAAAAGTCAAGGAAAGATTTTGCATATTAAAAGTGACTGAGGGCACAGCCATTTTCAAACTTTACAAGTGGCACCATTTTGCATTTTAAAGTGATAGCATTCTCATTCGGATTCCAGGGACCTAAGAATAGGCTCTGTTTGCCAAGGTTGGCAGGGACATACAAGAGGCTGACAACAGCTGGTGAGTGTACAGTAGCTGGCAACTAGTGAACAGAGAAGGGCAGCACAGTATCCTCCTTGGGTAGGTAACATACAAAGCAAAGAAAACAAAAATCATGGGCAAGTCACTCCAACATACCATCACCAATTAAATATAAACATAAAAATGTCACAATGCCTTGGAGACACCAGAGTATCACAGTCCACACAAAGAAGCAAGATAAAGCAGGAGAAACAAGGGAACAGGATACAGACCCAAAACACATCCCTGAGGAAGACACAGCACTGGAACTCCCTGATAAGGAATTCAAAATAATTATATTTAGGTATCTTCAAAGGATTGAGAGACAGACCAAGAAAAACACAGACAAAACCCTAGAAGAATTCTGGAAGAAAATACAAGAACAAAAT